TTTTTTTCCTCCTGTGCATGTAGTATGCTTATTTACTATGGAATTGCAACATCTATCACTGTTGCAGGAAAAATATGTCTACATTTCCTTACCTGTTTTTGCAGTTGCAAAGAAAGGTCATGTTAGAAGCTTTTTTGCTTTCTAAGTAGTCTCCTGCACTCTTCTTGGGAGGGCTGTGGGCAGGAGAATCATAATCCAGCTGCTGTGACCTGATTGTGAAATTCTCATCTATAGCTACCTCATTTTTGAAACCTTACATTTCCATTGTTAGCTGCTATGGAACAGTTGAAAAATCAGACCTACAGACATGTGTTAATTGTTTCTCTAACTTCAGTCGTCAGAAACGCATCCCAGACTGCCCTACCTGTAGTGTCTGTGGTGTTCTTGCTGTCTGCAGCCATCCCTAGTAGCCCTCCTTTGCAGTAACTCTTTTTTCTTCAAGTATATGTTGAAACATTTGCAGCAAGTCTAAAAATTGCCCTTGGAACATAAATGTTTTACAGAGCATGTCTGCTTAGTCTCCCCAGGTCTTTCATAGTACCTTCCAGTTCTTTCATTCTGTGCTTTCACTTTTTTCTACATTCTTATTTTTCATTGTGGTTTGATCTTGTGGATGTTTTAGTAGGATTTTTCACAAATACTGCGGAAAACAAGATTAGAGTCACTGTAGCCTAATGTCTGCTTCATCACCTCCTAGGGTGAGCCGTTTGGCTTAGAGGGAGGAGCTGCCTGCTGCTTGTGTTATGTAAAATAATAAATAATTTATAATGCTAACTGAAAATACCTGCCTTCGTGGACTTACATACATTGAAGTGCTTGACAGGCACTAAATTGAGACATAATCAAAATAATTCTTCGAAGACATGGGAGAATAATTGCTTTATTTGATATTTATTTTTTTTTTTAAGTGGGGGAGCTTTCCTGTCAGTCTGTGCTTTACTCAAGATTATTATTGACCCACTTTAGGAAATCCTTAACTGGTGGATCAGTGTGAGCCATAATGGAGGTCTGCAATATGATTCTGCAAATACTTAGCTATTTTACTGAAAGCAGCTTTTCTGACGTACTGCCTTGTTGCTGATCCCGGCACCTGCTCCAGTAAAGAATCACATGAAGCTTTGGATCATGTGGCTTTTTCCTCTCGTCTATCCTAACAAAAAAGCATTTTGAAAGGATTAATGGATTTTCTGCACCGCCTTAGAAAGCCGAAGGTGTTGCAATGCACTAACAAATGCCAGTGCTAGTGTAGCTTTGAAGCTGTGATGTGTGCATGGAATTTCAAAGAACTGCATCTATATACCGAGCATGGTAATTTAGCAGTAGTGCTTGATGGTATGAATTGATACAACTTCTGAAGTTATTTTGTTTTCAAGCAGAGACTGTTAGCTTCTATCATATGGACTCTACCTGCTTTTCCAATTTTTATCTTGGGAAATTAAAAGATGTGTAAACAGAAGACGCTTGTGTCAACGTTCCTTTTCTCAATGTAATTGACTATTTCTGCAGTGAATAGTTAATGATGATCTGCTTTGCAAGACATAAATGCGGCAGTGACCTGCTCTCGTTTAGATGTTGCGGTAGTAGAATGGTGGGGCTTTGCATGATGCATGCTTTCATTGTTTGTGTTAAGCTGCTTGCATGTGTCTGCTGTGAGCTGGGTAGCTTGTCTCTGCATCAGTTATAAAGGAATACTTATTTTCTATTTCTTCTGATGAATAAGTATTCTTGATGTAATTTTCTTTTTTTTCCCCTTGGCTATTAAAGTATAATTGTCTGAGACAGTTTTGTGAACGTGATCTGTAGATGCACATGCTTTGGATTCATGTTGTATGTTATTCCATGTGCTGTTCCTGTCTGCTGAATTTGCTCCTTGGTGGCAAATAGTTAAAACTGCTTAAATGCTTTTTATGCAGCACCTTTTTATTGGTAGGGTTTGCAAGGTGATAGTTGTTTACAGCTGATAGCAGTATATGCTGTCTTGTATGCAATTCTGAAGTGTGGATAAACTGTTTAGTGGCATTATTAATCACAAGCATAAATGATAGTCAAATAAATATACTGCTTGCTGGAAAGGTACCTTAAAAATCATGCTTACATACTGATATGGAAAGAAGCTGGTTTTCTTTCACCCTCAGCTTTTATTTTGTGAACTAAATTAGCTGAGCATTGACTGTATGGGTGATATTGGAAGAAAAGGATTTAATTCAAATGTAGAATATAAGTCACCAGATTTTCTACTTCTAAGCTTACATGTATTCTTGTAAGCTCTAGAGTAGTACTATTAAGATGTGACTTGGATTAAATTTTCAAATACAGAAATTCAGAAATTCTACTTCCTAAGCTTCAAATTAAGATTTTGTGTAGATGCCTTTCTCACTTAAAGGAGAAAGCAATCACAAGACGTTTGCTCTCCTTAGTTAAAATGTTCTAGCTTCAATGCCATGGGTATTTTGGCTACATTTTAAAATGTATCTGTTCATTAAGTCATATCCTATTGAAGTAAAATTTTACCCTCTTCCCAGTGTGTACAATTTACAGAGAAAAATAGAATGAGCCCCCACTGTCAAACTGACCGTAGTAAAAGCACATTCAGAGTTATCTTAGTATTTCTAGTGTATGATTAAATAAACACTGATGTTACCAGTAAAACAGTAAAGTTTTTTTAGATGAAATCTTAAAAGAAATGTTTCATGCTTCGAAGTGTTGTGTGACTCTTATAAAATGATCCTTTGAGGTTTATGCTCATTAAACACTTCTGACATGAAACAACTTTATGCCCCAAACTCTTGTCCTTTTAACAATCCTTCTATTCTCTTACATACTTTCTTTTTACTTATCAAGCCTTTGGAGGACTTAAAGTCCATAAAAAGAGCCAAAAGCCCTTACTTGGGTATTTGCAAAAAACCTAATCAAAGCTTCATTATTTGATGTATCTTAAAATTACAATCCAGTGAATTAAGGTATAATCTTTTCACTGAATTGCATTGCAATTCAAAATGTGGTCCGATATCCCAAATACAATACAAAGACAGCTATACTGCTTAACACTTGAACTCGTATTCTAAGAAAGTCCCATGTATCCAGTGTCAGTGATTTTCACAAAAAGCCTATTCCAATAGATACTTTAAAGCCAAGCTTTAAAAAAAATAGTAGGACTAGTTCTTAAAAAATTGATCTTTTACCACTTTGATTGCTACACTTATGTACCTATTTTTCTAGGACTGTGGCTCAGTATGAAACAGCTTAAAATGCATGATTTATAGCAGAAATAACTAGATTATTACATTCTTATAGTATGACTTAATATGGAAACTGTCTTGTGTTCTATCATTTCACTTTAAGCTGTCATTAAGCATAAACTTCTATTTCTGCTAGTCCAGATAAGTAGCAGCATTTCTAATTTTTTGCTAAATTAAGCAATGAACTTAAGATCTGCCTTATTAAATATTTTGAATTTCCAGGGGCCCTCTTTTTTATTTTAAGTTGATGATCACTTACCCTGCTTCCACCAAGACCTTTGTAGTACCTTTTTCTAGCTACACTTGCATATCTTGATCATATTCTTTTTTTCAACTCCACTTCTACTTTTGATACTCAACCTGTTTCTCTTCTGCTTCCTCAATGCTTTCTTGTCTTCCACCTCATTCTTTAAATAGGCCAGATAGAAATTGACTCTTGGCTCCTTCTTTCTTGGTTTTGCTGGATAATTTCATTCAGTCATGTTCATTCAGGAATTATGTTGACAACTCTGGGACTCACATTTTTCTTTTCAGTCGTGACTTCATTTCTCTAAAACTGTGTTTCTCTGCCACTGCTCCTTTGTAACCCAAGCAGGTATACTTCATCCCACACATTGCAGTATTGTCCAAATCCTCCTGTTTTAACCAAAACTTCAAACAACTTTTTGTCCTTTCTCCTTGCTTTTAATAAACTTCTCAGTTCATTTGCATCTTATTTAGCATCGCGCTCCTGCTTCCCAAAGCCTATGCCTATTTTTCCAGTAAAAAGTGCAACAGCTAGAATTTCATTGTTGCTTCTTGCTATCATTTGTTATGTCTCCCCTTTTCCCTGCCCCATCTGAATTTCTATGCTACTGCAGAATTTCTTATTTCTGTCAGAAGTCTTTCACAATGTTGTCACCGTCTACTTGATTAAACTTGTCTATTAACAGTATTTCCGATATTACTCTGAACCATCTGTTCATTTATGACATTCTTTTTCAGGGTTTTTCTTCTCCTTTGACATGCACGGGCCATTTATGTTAACCTCTAGGGAAATATTTTTCTTTCAGTTCCTCAGTACCTGCTTCTGAAAGTCATCAAACTTTTTTTTTTTTACATCTTTTTAATAGTATTTTAATCAAGAGATATTTTTCTTTTTTCTTGTTTCCTTATTTAATTAGTTACTATTATCTTCTCCCTCTTGCTTTTAGTATCTCACTAGTTTTATGTAGACTCTTGTTCTTTGTAAAAAATAATTTCAGTCTAGTATAAAGAATTTGGCTAAAGAAGCCTGGAACAAGCAAAAAAAACCTTGATAGCTGTAATAGTCTTGTTTTTGTATGATCCCTATTTTCTTGCTTTTAAAAATAAAATGGCACTATTTGAATTATTGGAAGGGCTGACTGAGGCTGATTGTCTTCAGACTGAACCATGTTAATCCCCTGATTAATTGTAGAGTATTGTAGGTTTTTGAATACTATGTGAAAATTGCTTGGTATGGGTTACATAAACCAAAATAACGGAACATTGTTCCTTTTTTGAACCCTTAAATATATATTGCTTTGTTCTTTTGGGGGCACATCATAGGTTGTAGATAACTTAAGTTTTCACAGATCATTACGATGACAAAAAATAGATTCATAGTAACTTTATAGATGCTGCTTCCTGACAAGAAACAAATGGGCTGGTTTCAGAGGAAATGACATTAATCTTGCTATCATGATTTCTCTTTTATTAAAAACCTCAGCACTCTAGTTTTGTGTGTGGTTTGTTTTTCAGACTGAATCTGGCTATGGATCAGAGTCAAGTTTACGACGCCATGGCTCCATGGTGTCTCTGGTTTCTGGAGCAAGTGGATACTCTGCAACATCCACCTCTTCGTTCAAGGTTAGTGAATGTTTTCTCAGTATTGATGTGTAAATAACATGCACAAATGGAAAAGAAATCAATTCTGTGAAACTCATTCACACAATTGTAGAAAAAAAATAATTTAGTTTACTGCAAGTGTTAGTAGTTCATCATATGGTGATGAACAGATCATACAGGAAGCTGCCTCATGCCCTCTGTGCAGTTACCCCTTTTAAACTGTGGTGTCGTCTTCTAATGGCAAGAAAATCAAACCTGTGGGAGCATCTGTTAACCTTTCCTAGTTTACTCCTCAGAATATCCGGGCCTCTAAATTAAAAGGAATGCTGATTCTGTGACTTGATTAATAAATTTGATTAATATTGATTGACAATTGATGGCTATCCTTGTCTCATGCACATAAATATTTAACATACGGACTTGGAGGGCTGCACTTCTGGGAGAGCAGAAGAGGAGCAACACAAGAAAGGGGAGGAAAGGTCGGAACGAACTAGAGCTGACTGTTTTCAGGCAAATAGGCATAAAGTTGGTAGCATGCAAGATCGCATTTTTAATAAGCTTTTGTTGAAAGCTCTGAAGTAGCAGATCCAGTCAAGAGTAAAACTTGAGACTGGTGAACAAAATGAGTAAGGAACACTTGATACAGTTTCTTACATTCATAGAATCACAGAATCTAGTTCCAACCTCCATACCATGGTCAGAGACACTTTCCACTAGACCAGGTTGCTCAAAGCCCCATCCAACCTGGCCTTGAACACTTCCAAGCATGGGGCATCCACAACTTCTCTTGGGCAATCTGTTCCAGCGCCTCACCACTGTCATAGTGAAGAATTTCTTCCTTATATTTAATGTAAATCTACTCTCTTTCAGTTTAAAGTCATTACCCCTTGTCCTGTCACTACATGCACTTGTAAAAAGTCCCTCTCCAGCTTTCTTGTAGGCCCCCGTCAGGCACTGGAAGGCTGCTTATAAGGTCTCCCTGGAGTCTTTTCTTCTCCAGGCTGAACATCCCCAACTCCCTCAGCCTGTCCTTATAGGAGAGGAGCTTCAGCCCTCTGATCATCTTCATAACCCTCCTCTGGACTCACTCTTCTAACATTAACAGTATTTCATAGCTGCTGATACCTAAAATGTCCCTACTGCACTTGAATTCTTCAGAGCTGCAGCAATCCATTTTTTTTAACTTATGCATTGAACTATTGCTGAGTATGTAGAAGCATTTCATACTTTTTTCTCTTTTATTTTCAGAAGGGCCATAGCTTACGTGAGAAGCTTGCAGAAATGGAAACCTTTAGAGACATCTTGTGTAGACAAGTCGATACTTTACAGAAATATTTTGATGCCTGTGCAGATGCAGTTTCCAAAGATGAACTACAGAGAGATAAAGGTAAACTGTAACTGAAAACTCTTATGTCCATAACATTTAGTTTTTTGCACAGTAATAGCCCTTGAAATAGTTACTATAGCATCTGATGCCATATAAATGGAATATATTAAATTTATTCTTTAGTATGGGGATCAATGATAGATATTTCTGCATAAACAGTATTAACTATTTTCACTTCAGAAGTTGGATTCCCATAAAAATCTGCCTAATTTAATATTAGCCTGTAGTTGTCAACTGTACGAAAGAAATGCATCTGATGTTACAGAACAATTGTTTACCCTCATTAAATTAATTAGCTTATAGCTTTGTCTCTTACCTTCTATTTTGAAAAAAAGAATAGGATATTAGTTTTGATAGTAACAATACATTCTTTAAAAAAAGTAAAGGTGCTGCCATAATGATGTATTGGCTAGAACTAGAGTACTGAGCGCACACTTGAGGCCCAAGTAGACTCAGGTGTGGATGTCTACATATCTCTGAATTGCTCTTTTCAGAGCACAGCTTGTTGTCGTATCCATGCAGTCTCCTGAGGCATTTATATTAATCCCTGAAACTTTTGGTGTTAGGAAAACAGTACATAAGTACAATTCCACTTCTTCATGAACTTTCTATTGTGGAAGAGTAGAGAGCTGCTGAATTGTGGCTCCTTGCTTATCCAGTTGTAACACCAAAATAATGTTGTTCTTACCATAGAATTGAGTGCTAAACTTCAACACTGAGCAAATGTTAAGTTTCCTGATGGTTTCTGACAGTAATGTTGCTAGTGGTCTTGGGTCAAAAAAAAAAAAAAAAAAGAGGCACTCATGACTGTTGTCATTGGAAAAATCTTAAATGCTGCTTAGCCATAGAGATGCTCTTAATTCTTTCTTGCACACTAAAGAATTTAAATCCTTTCTCACTCCCATAACATACTCTCTTATGGGGATTTTTTACATAACAGTAACAGCAGTAAGGAAAAATGTAAGTGTGTCCCAACTTTTTCACTGAAAATTCATATGAATGCTATGATAAGGCTGGTATAAGATGGGTATTTATGCTCTTTTCTAAGCAGAAAATTGCAAGAATAGTTATTTAAATATATGTGGCAGGAAGTTCTTATTTATGTTGTCATTCATTAGCTGCTTTTCCTGATTCTCTGAGTTATTCTTAATTAACACAAATATTAATGCAAGATTGTCAAGCTGGAATTTCCTATTTTGTGTGCAAAGCCATTTTCACTACAAAATTCTGTTGAAACAGCTGCATCATTCAGATACTGGGAACTGAGATTTGTAATAGGTAACTTCAGTTTTTCTTGCAAGTGTTACCTGCTTGAGAAGTGTGCTGGAGGACAATGCTTTTGCAGTTAGGTATGTCCCAGTATTTTTTTTTTCCAAGTTCTATGGCTATGTAGTAGTAAAGCCAACACCGTTACTGAATCTCACTCATAATTTTAGCACTTTTACTGTATTTTCCATTGCTATGATGAACAGAATTCTGATTTTTAGTCTCATCTTAAATTATCTAGTTACTGTACTTACTCCAGCCATGCAGTAAATGTGAAGAACTCATGCAAGTCTTGCTGTTCCAGAAATCTGATACTTCTAGGCTGGCAGAAGTTGTGTATGCATTTAAAATGTATTTGCACTCATCTTAGACTTTCTCTTGTTTCCTGACTGAAATATTTTAGTGTTTACGTTCTCTAGATGTCGACAATTCAGTTAGTCCTAAGGTATTTCTTGATTCACAAAACTTTGAAGTTGGCACTACCTCCAGTTTCAAATCTGATGGAATCTCCCAAAGAAATAACTCACCAAAAGTGTTCTTAAAAATGTAGGCACTTTCATCAAGAACCTGGAAAATATACAGGCAAAATAAGCCTTTTCTGTGTCTTCTGGTTTTTTTTTAATTGGCTGTTGTCCCCCTGTGTTACATCTTTCCTTGCTGTATTTAAGTGCTCTTTCTAGGCTATAGCCAAAACTGTTATAAGAGGAAAGGAAATGGAAGGAGCTTTCAACATACTTCTGGAATTCGTCATATGAGTAGGTTTTTTTCAGTTATACAAAGTGCTTGCTCTGCTGAGGATTAATTGTAATGCTGATTTCAGAGGTTAAGTGACATGTAACTCTGAAGTTTTGAGTAAATCTTTCTTGCTTTTTATCATCGAAGATAAGCAAGCTTGCAACACTCACCTGTAAGCAAGTGCACAGTTCCACTATCCCTGCTGTGTAATAGAAGTGTACATTTTTTTGAGGACTGTTATGTCAGAACAAATTTCAGAAAACTTAAGAAGCCTTCTTTAAAAAACATTAAGTGAGAATTTAATTTTACTGCATGATTCATTTTGAAAGAGTTGTCTTTGTCAAATTTAATTTTTGTGGGATCATGTAGGAGTTTCAGCTTAATTTACCTTTAGAACGTATCTTCATATCTACATTATTCTGGTGTATCTGCTATATATTTGCATATGATATGGGGAATGTTATTAGGAAAGTCTGTATTTTTAGTACATCTGGTCATCTTAGAACATTTAAATGCAAAGTAAGTGACTTAATTTTTTTCGTCACCTGTTTAACAGGAATGTGAAGTGATAGCCGTATTCCTCTTGTAAAAAGTTCTATGTCAAGTCTTTGGGAACTTACATGCTAAGAAATTGCTATATATTATGGATACCTGTATATAAACTCACTTACTATAGCTCAGTACAGAAAATAATTTCTGCAAATCATTGCTTTTTGCAGAACTTCTAATTCCAGTTGTTATGATTCCTGATGCCATTAAATTTACTTTCCGTCAATTAGTTCTGTGAAAAGCTTTATCTCCCTTTTAGTTTTTCTGTGCCTCAGTTTGATTTCTAAGGGCTAAATCCATTAAATATTTAGCAGCTGAGTGCTGCAAAGCTTGATTAGAAATGAAAGATTAGTCTCAGCCCTCAAGTGGAATCATAAGTTGTAAGTAATGCAGTGGGGATAGTCGATGTCTCAGGTTGAGCCAGCCATGCCCATGTATTGGGCAGAAAACTACTCAGTCTAACTGATAATGAAAGATTTCAGCTTCACCCTTTTCTACAGCTTAGTCTCAGAGCAGCTGTTAAGATTCTTTGGTTTTTTTCCTTCTTGAAGTCTTTATCCAGTCCTGGAAGGACTGGAACAATCTTTTTAACTGTCACTGAGAAGTGGTTGCCTGTTTATTCTGGGGCTCTTCTGCAGTCAGTGCTCCAGGAGGCAAGAAGCATAGGTTCAATCTCTTATTTAGCTACTATGATAAGGAGTGGAAAAGAAGAAGGAAGAAAGAAGAATGGAAAAGATAAAGGAACTTCTTTCTACTCACTGTCTTGAAAATATTTTTCTGTTTCACTGGAAAACAGATTTGATCCAACAAGTAATGCTTGGGACATCTGGGAAACTGTCACAGACAGAATCTTAGGAACAAGAAGAGAAAACTGACCTCTCTTAACAGACATAGAGATGTAGAACAGAAGGTCTAAAGAGCTATTGAAGGCTAAAGCATGGTATGAAGAATCCTTTATATGAAAGGCAAGAGAAAACAAATCAGAAATAAAGCAAAATGCTTAAAAGACGGGATAATTAAAAAGGAACCACTTGGAATATGTTGAAATTTAAGTAGGAGAAGAATCATCCTCCTGCTTTTTTCAATTCGCTGCATGCAGTTTGATCACCAAGCTAGAAGAGCAGTTGCAATGGCAGAGATCACTTTCCTATTAGCGTTTACCATGAACCATATAGATCTCCTGATGCCAGATTTCATTTTGAAACACTGTCTTGTGGCTGACATGAAAAAAGCATAAAAAAGGAATAGGAAAGATGTTCAGCCTCTCCAATTAGAAAATGCTCCGATGTGCTGAAGCTCAACTGTTAACCGAGATGGGGCTTGAGGTCATCTTCTGACATGTTCTGGGAGACAAATATCTCCTGTGATTAGGAATAAATCAAAATATTCCCGTTCATTGTAAGGAATCTCTTGAATCTCTTCTTCTTTTCGAAGAAACAGGTTTTGTATGTTTCTACAACAATTCCATTTTTGCCCAGAATTATAATGGCTGAAAGGAACTACAGGCACAGACTTTAAAACTGCAAGCTCTGCATGTATCACTGCTCCTTCGAGACTAGTCATTAAAGAATTACTTAGAATATAAGATGACTGAAACTGTATGGAAGTATTAATGAGCTGTAGCTGAGACCTAAAGATATCCAGGAATAAAAGCTGGCTTTTTTCCAGGAAATGAGGCTGCGTTGCTGCATCTCTCTTAGTCTACCATAGAGATTTCCAAAATTATTTTAGAGGGTTACAGCCGGTGGTAGTTTCTTCAGCACGTCTAGCATGTTGCATAATTAAGAGAGAAAAATCACATCTATAAGCATTCTAGCTGTGCTGGTAAGCTTGTACATGTCTACACAAACAGGACAAATTACTAGTATAAACTGTATTTTTCAGTCATGAAGTGTTATGGGCAAAGCTCTTGTGTAATTTTCATTTTTTTCAGTGAATCCACAGCATCGCCTCCTTGCCAGCTTATACCACTCTCAGCCTCCTCCGTGTTCCCTCTGCAGCTGTTAGGGGGAGGGAGAGCTGCTCTGCTCATTATTGTTTCTGAAACAGATTTTTCTTTATCTTACTTCCCTTTTATCTCCAGCCCCCATCATTTTTACCTTTTAGGGAGTATTCTTGATTAACATGAATCAAAAAATAAGCTGTATTCTAATGTAGTATGTGTGCTTATTGAGGTATTTGAAGTAGTGTGTAGTCTGTAATCATCTCTTTGAAAAGTAGTTGTGATTCCTTCTGAAAGGAGGGCGTATAAAACCTCTAGAGACTTAAACCATTGCTTAAAACAAGTCCATCTGACGATTGCTTTCTGTTCCCAAAGTATAGATACTGTGCTCTACTATTAGAGAACAGCAATTGCATTTCTCTTCCCTACAAGAACTAAACTGCATGAAAGCTCTGCTTTGCCCTTGCAGACAGATATTGGATAAACTTACACAAATATTTATTTGTACTTTTTAAACCATAACAGTGGCATGTTGACAAGCTGACAGACTATGGGGAAGAAGCGATATCCAGCTAGGTGATAAGTCATTAGCTTGCCTCACAGCATAGCAGGAGTTACTTTAACTTGCTGGGCTCAGTCAGCTTTGACATGGGTGTTACTTCTGCTTTCTAGTATTTTCTGACATTAATGTGTAGTGTTTGATTTGTTATTATGTCAACCTACATAGGAGTTTGACATATAATAGGTACTTTTTTTGTCACACGTTTTAAGGCTTAAATAGCCTTAGCAACAGATGGCTTGGTTGACAGCATGAAGTAGTTGTTGGAACTGCAAAACCCACAGTACTTGGATAATTCAACACATTTGATACTTATATCATACCTTTTTACTTTGAGGTTTTTATATCCATATTTACCTGCTTAAATCAACCTCGAATGTTACATTTTGGGTTTGATTGTTCCTTTCTTAGGGCTTTATCAGATATGTTTTAAAGTTGCTCTGTGTTAATTAGGCCCCACTTCAAGCTGTCAAACTGCTATTGTTACGAAGTATTACCACTCCCTCCACCCACATGATTTGCGGAGTGCAGAGTAATACGGCATTACAAGCAGACTTGAAATACAGTATAGCAAGATGAAGCTGAAGGGATGTGTTCCTCCTCTTGAATCCCTTTCCTTATCCTGTGGATAGCTGAACATTATTGGCACTTTTGATTTTTATTTTCAAGTTAACTTTCTAGCCAATGTATTTTTGTCAAGCAGTTGTAATATAAGCATACACATAAAATGCTTGTTTGAGTTAAAGGCAGCTCTCAGGGAATGATTCATGTTTGATTTTAGTGTTTCCGCATGTGACACCCAAAGGAATTAATGGCATAGACTTTAAAGGAGAAGCTATAACTTTCAAGGCAACTACTGCTGGGATCCTTGCTACACTCTCTCATTGTATTGAACTCATGGTAAAACGTGAAGAAAGCTGGCAAAAAAGGCTAGATAAGGTAAGATCATTTTCCTTTTACTTTTGTTAGAAAAAAAATGTTTCTTTAGCTTGAAATTGAAATGTCAAATGAGCTGTTGTTAACTTTTTTTATTTCAGATATTGTTTTTATTTTTACATGCAGTATTTATTAATTTTAGGTGCTTTCATAAGCCTCATCCTAACTGGTGATATAGTAAAATTATTCATCACAGTCTTTCTTTTCCCGTCGTTTGTTCAGATACTATTCTTGTATTTATTATATCTGTAGAGAACCTGACAGCATTCCGTAGTAATAAGTGTATTGCTTGCAGCCTTCTAAAATATACCTAATTATCCATGCTGGTAAAATGATGTGTAAATCTCTGAAATGTGTGATAAGCGATGGTGACAGTACTGAGGAGAACAATCAGTTCTAACTTTAAATGTCTCTTTAAGATACAATTATTTCACTTTCCTTTAGGAGATTGAAGAGATTAAGTCATGTTTCATACTAATCTGTTAAACTGTTTAGGTGTGTGGTATGAGAATTAATGGCAGTGATAGCCATTAATTCTAAGCCTACTCAACCACTGTAGCAAATTGAAAGGAGTGGTGTCTTCTCTAACGAGATGTGCTGGAGGCATGGTTAGGTTGTACTTCAGGCTTTCATTTCTAAAATCCTGCCATCACTGGGTGGTGTCCTGTGCAGTCCTCTAGCTGTTTTTGTGTCTTGTTTTTCATTTAACATGTTTCCATGTAGTGTATATCACACTTCAAATCTTACTCCATATGTTTTAGTGGTACATGATTCAAAGAATTAATGCATTCAGACAGACTGCATCCATATTTGAATCCTTGCCCCTGTCTCCTGGGTTTTCTTTGTCCATATTTCAAAGGTCTGGCCCTGTCTAACTGTATTGTGACTTCTGTCAACATAATTTGTTACTGCTCCATCTAAGTAGTTGGAGGAATTACAGTAGATCCAAGACTCAAAGTTTATTCATAGAATCATGGGGTAGTTCAGGCTGGACTAGAGACCTCAAGAGGTCTCTCTATCTTCAACCTCCTGCTTAAAGGAAGGACAGTTTGAGATCAGACCAGGCTGCTCAGGGCTGGTTTCAAGTCTCCGAGGCTGGAGACTGCACAGCTTTTCTGAGCAGCCTGTTCTGCTGCTCAACTGTTGCTGTAGTGGAAAAGTGTTTCCTTATATCCAGTTGGAATAACTGTTATTCCAGTATCTGCCTATTGTTTTTCATCCTTCTTTTTTTTTTCGGCGAAGTCACCGAGGCGAAGGGCTGCGGAGCGGAGGATCGAGCCAGGATACCCTTTCCTAAAAGCAGCAGAACTGCAAAGTCAAAAGTGCAGGGAGGGAGAGGGCACCCCAGCCCCTCCCCACCTCAGAGCCAGCTCCTAACGAGCGGGCAGCTCTGACTCAGTGGGGGCGGCGGCCTGGCCCTCCTGACATACAAAAGCAGCCCCCAGGGAGCGTGAGCGACCCGGAGCGAGTCGAACAGGGCACGGTGCGTCAGACGGATGTGGTGCATCAGTTTGCACGGGCAGGGTGTGCCGGCAGGGCGAAGGCCCTCCCCAAACTCCCGAGGTAAGCTCAGGAAACTCAGCTGCTGGGAGGAAGCCGAGCCATGGCACCCCCCCCCGTCAGACGGCTACCGCCAATCT